TCCCTATTGTGGTTTAATATATTTCTATGAGGCAAGCAAATTTGATAATAACCAAGTGTTATTATGCACTATGTCTGTCTCCATCCTTCCACTTGTGTTCCATGATTATTTAGTCCTACACTAAGATTTTATTTTACTTAAAATTCCTCTATTGGAAACCACAGTTTCATTGAATGTAAGAAGCCAATAGCTGAAGTTTTGAATGAGTGATTTCTCAACTGGATAGGGTTTGGGGAGCAATTTGCCTCCAAAGGGATGTTTGTCATGTCTGGAGACTTTCTAATTGCCATGCTAGGGAAAAAGTGGTACTGTCATCTAATGGGTAGAGGCAGAGATGCCACTCAACATCCCATAATATGCACAGGACAGTCTTCTTACAAGAAAGATTTATTTGACCCAATATCTCAGTAGTGACCAGGTTGAGAAACACTGCTATAAACTGATGTTTTAAAATATTTACAGATTTTAGTTAGAGTTGAATTGTACATGTTCTGATTCATGAATGAAGCAAATAGGAGCATTAACATGTTTCTCTGTCAAAATCAAAGAAATATGAAAGTAATCTCTAAAGCTAAACTTCTCATTTCAACCTACTTCTTTCACAACAGTTCATTTTTTCAAGTAAGTCTGTCTAAAATGTTTGTGATACTGGAATTTAATTCTTATGTCATAAACTCTGAGTCCCTCGTAATTGCAATTTAACCCTTTTATATCACTTAACAGAGCTACAGCGCTCAAAAATACTTTTAAGGATGTTGATGTTATTAGAGTGTTAGTACAATAAATGATAATCAACAATGCTAAATTATAGCCTGTAAAAAGTGTGCCTAATTCTCATTCTATTTTCTATACTATTTGCTGTTCCTTGGCATAAAATGTGGTAGCAGATTCTGAATTTTAACACACCCCAATTCAAATGTCTATATGTCAGCAATGCAAAAAGAATGATTTCTCTGAACTTGACAATTAGTTTATATGGGAAAAGCATTTGTCACCAGTATGACCAAGTTATATTTTAATTATTTCAATTTTGAAATATAAAAAGTGTTTTGCTAAGTTCAAAATGTTACCAGAGTCGTTTTTAGTGCCTCTTTCAAATCATTTACTAAACAAAATGCATGACTATAACTACCTCATATTTCATGGCCAGTTGCCTGAGAGTCTATACGTCATATTAACTTAGCCAAGAGATTGTTCTTCTCCTGTCCTACCACAATGTATTTCCATTTAAGTCTCCCATGTTGCCTTTCTGATTCAATTGTTCTTTACTTTTGGTTAGGAACCCTTTGTTTAGAAATACATAACTAATTACACACTGCTTTCCAAGTATGACACATTTTAATGTCTTATTTTGTCAGGGCATTTGATAGTAATAGCAATAATAATTCATAAAATGTCCTAAATTTTTAGAATATACTATTTAATACAGGAGGTTCTATCCCAATGTGAAGTTTGTCTTGACCTATGCTTATATGCATAGACATAACACGTACCACATACACACTTGTGTGCACACACATTTGGTTTATATTTTACATTTAGCCTCTTTGAGGAAGGACCCCATAGGCATTCTATATTTGAAATAACGTCCAATAATCTCCAGGCTATAAAACCATGAATAATTTAACCAACTAATATTACAGGGAGAAAATTGCAGGGGAATTCTAGCAAACTAAACTCAATTTTCAGACTTGGCAATTTAAAGATAAAAAGCTCTTTATTCTACAAAAAGTGTAAACAGAATCATTTGAGTTGACAGGCACTTTGGGTCTCACTGATACTTCATCTCAGAGATTAATACATCTCTAGAAATTAGGACATAATTCATCAACAAATTACGTGGTCTTTCTAGCCACTTTATCTCTATGGGGTTAGAGATGTTAGCTCTCCCACAAATGCAGGCCTTTAATCCTTCTATATTGATGAACCTGGGAGTCAGTATACTCTTACAAGAAGCAGGAAGTTGATTATTACAGCAAACTTGAAAACTGATTCTAAAACAACACGACTGTGGCTCCTAATGCCATCCAATGGATTATCCTTCATTCTACCGTAGGCCCGTAACTGTTGGCTTCTTACCTACTGCCCTTCTTCTTGTCAGGTGTCTTATTTCCCTTGTGTTTGTTCTGTTCTTTAGAGTTCTGTCCTAGCTGATTTTAGATTTGGAGCTGCCACCAAAAGACACAACCCGTGAATTTTCAAATATTTTTAAAAACAACTTTTGCTTTAAATTAAGGTCACCATCACAAGTGAGAAAATGGACATTCCCTACTATCATTTGCAAATCAGGAACACAAGTAACCCTTAATTTCTCTTGAAAGGGATAGGAGAATATTCTCTCGTATAGCTCTACGCATGAACTCCTATAAAATGTGTTTGCTTTTTTGTGTGTTTCTCCTCAAGACAGATTGCCACCCAAAAACAAAATCCAAGTTCTCCACACAACCAAGATAATACATGATTGTCTTTAGAGTCTATGGTAAGAATGAGAATTTTTGAAGTTCCAGTATTGCCAACAACTCTGATTTTCAAAGATATTAACTACCAAAATAAAAAGAACTCCACAGTATTCAAATGGGAAATCATTTTAGCAGGTACCCATTAATTGCCAGGGATTGTTCCTGAAGATGCAAAAATTAAAAATATATGGTCCTTTCCTTTTTGCAATTGTGCTATCATCACACTAATATACTATGTCTTGATATTCATATAGCTTTAAAATCTGTTATAAAAGATGATGCATATATAGCACATTAAGTTTCTATAGGGAATAAAAAAGAAACGTGATCTGTAAGAAAGGGCAAAGCATTAAATTTTTTGGAAAAAGAATTTTTTGTATTTCTTTTTCCCTGGCAAAGGATTCACCTCATTGGTACCTAAGTTCTGTAGACTGTTTTCACTCCTTGGTCAACCATGAAAGCACTGTCAGCTGTCAAAGGAAGATGTGCTTTCATAAAGATAGATGATCAGGGGTGCATGTCCTGCCATAATTTAAGGTATAGAGACAGATCATCTCAAAATTATTACATATTAAAAGTGTCTTGCTATAAGCTGATGAACAAACAAAATACAAAATGGTGTCCTTGGCTCGGCAGACCTGCATCTGTGTGATGGATGAACAAGTCTTCAAATACATGGTAGAAATTCTACATTTGAGAGACAAATATCACAGAGAACAAGTGCTGTAATGATGCACTAAAGCAATTTCCTAAATATTATTAGTTTACATGTCTGCAGTCACTTGTCTATCTCCTCATTATTCTTTTATTTTAACAAGACTGACTAGAAAATTTCTTCATTTATAGTAATATGTTTTTTGAATGTTTGAAGTTAAAAGGAATTATAGTTGCATAAATAATTTTTAAAGTATTGAAGTAATTTTTTATTATGATACTAAACATATAATAAGCAAGTTTACATAAACCTAATGTCTCAAATAGCAAGTAAAAACATTCTCACTTTTTTTATATTTTGTATTCCATATCTTAACTTTGTTAAAAAAAAATACTGAAAACTAGCTATTATGTTGCATACTTACATGAAATGTGTGTTGTTTTGTTGTTGTTGTTCACGGAGGCAAAACTGTTTAAAGGGTAGCTTCCTCAACTGATAGAATTTTAAAATAGGAATTGTTTCCTTTTCTTTCCTTACAAAGGTTAGTAATTATTTTCCTTATACGAACTTTTCATGTACGCTGCGATTGATGAATAACAGTGAAAGATGATGTTCATCTAGTCCTGTTTCTTCAGAAAATCTTTAGATGGTATTTATGGGTTGCCGATTGATTTAGCTTTACATTTTAGCACCACCTGGTGGACAAAATATCTTTTTTTTCTCTACTGTTTAAAATAGCCCATCACATTTTATATCCAATTATGACATATTTTAATATTCAATTGTAAAAATTCTTAATGCTAAAGATCACTGTAAACAAAATAAGATTAAAATATTTCAGATTTCAATGTAAATGTCTGAGTCTTTTTTAGCCTCATGAGGCTATATGCAGATTTGAATAGTATTTTGCATTTACATGCAAAAATGTGTTTTTCCACATTTTAATAATTTATATATTTTAAATAAATGATTAGAAGGGACCCAGAAGTTTCTGTACCCTAGTAGCAGATTTTACCTTAAATTATATTGTCTCTCAAAATGGAGATAATTGTCTCGTAAACAATTTATGAAGAATGTTCATACTATAAATTTTTATCATGTTAATATTTTATACAAAGTTAAAATTAGTATCTTGACTTTTACTACTACAAAACAAGTCATTTTCATGCTCATTTTTTCCCTTATAAATAAAATTCAGTTGTGGTCTTATAGGTATTAGTTATCAGTTTTTAACAGTTTTTTGAATTTTCCAGAAGATAAATTGTATAATATTTTAAATGGAAAATACAAATATATATTAAGCTACTTTTAAGAATTTCAAATATGTTAATCTTTGTATAGTCTCATATTTCTATGGACTATAGTGAAATGTATCTCTATGAAATACAGTAAGAAGATAATTCACCCACAGATTCCTGTGTTCCTTTGGAATATACTACGTATATATTCCCTGGCAAAATTGAGGGTTTAGAAATTTGAATTGTGTGCTAGTCAAAGTCTTAGTAGCAAAATAACAACTGTTAATATTTATTTATTTTTATTTATTTTTTTATCAATATTTTTTATTATGGTTCTATGGGGTACAGTTAAGGGTTAGGTGTACAATTATGTTTCATTCAGGCACCCTGTTGATAAGAGGTGTTTCCCCATCCCCACACAGATATTTGCTACTGTTAATCCCATCTCCCTCCCCCCCAACTGTTAATATTTAAGTAGAAAATATTTTCTAGTCTCATAACTTTTGTATGTCATTTAAGATAAAACAATAATAGATAATAGTCTTCATTAAGCATGCATTTTGAACTGAATTTTACTATATCACTTCAAGGAAACACTTTACATTTTTTTTTCTTTTTTCTGTCTCTCTTTATTCCTTTCATCTAAAGGTCTTGGATGGTATACTGTAAATTCAGTATATGGAGATACCATTATCATGCCTTGCCGACTCGATGTACCTCAGAATCTCATGTTTTGCAAGTGGAAATATGTAAGTGTGACCTATCTTGGACTTGGCTAATTACCTCTGCTTTTTAAAATAAAATTATTTCTGTGAGTAAACATGATTTCAAAGCAACCTAAATGCAGTATTGCACTGTGAGTGCAGATGTAAGAAGGTAGAATAATGTGATGAATATGTCAAAAGATGATTTTTGTCTTACATAACCAATGCTATTTTAAAATAAAACCAATACACACATAATTGTTGGATCATATTCGTCTGAAAGATTCCACCTTAAGTGTTAAAGGCAGAGAGAAAGCCAGAGTTCCAGAATGAAATCAAAGGATTATAGGACAGAGAGCTCAGTGGAGGATGGCAACCTTTCTCCACTTGCTCGTGTTCTGTTTGATGTGGCTGTTGCAAAGGCAAGATACAACAGTCGACAGAGTCCTTAATCGTTGAGAATTAGTCATCGGCATTATAAGCTTGCTTCTGACATTTAACCTTAAAACTGTTTTGATGTTGTAGCTCTTTTTTACATTTAATATTGTTTGGTTTTATCCACATTTCTTGCAGATAGCAAAAAATCATATTTTCTCAAGTATGCAGGTTTAAATGGTCTAGAAATAGAGGGTAGAGATCCTGGCAAGTGGATGTGGAATGGTTAGGATAACACTGACTGATAAAATGTCTCAATTTAATATACCAAAGTTAATGAAAAGTATCCATGTGGACCACAAGAGACTCATGGCAGCTTGTAAGCTTCAAGTAGATATGTTTTCCTTGACACAATAGTGAAACTTCCCTAGCTTCTTGAAGTGTTAAAGGTACTTGCAGAGGGAAACAATTTGGTGGCCAAATAATTTATGAAAAGGTTGTTTATTGCAACACTCCTCGAAGCCTCTCATATGTTAAACTGCATTATGAATTGCCTGAGGGCCATAGTTTGATTGCCTTCTTTGGTTTATTTGATCACATGGCTTTTTTCCTTCAATAGCTCCAAGAACAAACATTCTGCAGAATACACTTGGAAAAATATCCTTAAGTCTTCATTCAAGGGGTGGCCTAACACAATCTTTTAAAATGTAGGTTCTGAAGTCATACCAACAGTTTCAAACATATCATCACTTCGGGATTCTGGGCACATGAATTAATCCTCATTTTCTCATCCATACATTGAGATAATAATATCTTCCTTGTAGACTTGCTGGGAGGGTTACCTGAAGAAATTCATATTCAAAATACCTAGTACTTACCATGTGGTAATCTCCTGACAAAGCGAGCTATCATATCTATGGGGCTGTAAAATGCTAACCACGTGTGCTTGTATCAGTGGAAAGTAAAAGAAAGAAAGGCAGCACAGCACTTCTCTGTACTCTCCTCTCATTATCTAGTTCACTGGAAGTAATTTTGAACTATATCCAGCTTCCTATAAGTGTGGAAATTCAATGTGAAGGCCTCTGAGGACAAAGTCTATTACCACCCCCAAAATTCCAAAGGCCAGGGAGACTACCGGAATAATTAACCTGTTGAATCAGATTTGCTGCCAAAATAAATACAAACAAGTAATAGAAAACTTTTATGATCGTAGAAAATCCTAACTATAACCCAGGGAGTAGTGTTCACTGAAACAGAACTGGCACAACAGTACTGGAAACCAAATAATGATGGCAATTTTTTAAATTGTTAGTTAAGCAAAAAGCTTCACCACTATACTGATGAGATATATTTGAGGTACTGTGTGCTCTAAAGTCAGTCCTGATGTGTAGAAATAGCATACATGTTTTCATTTGATGTAAGCACGTGAAAAACAAAAAGAGATTTTCGAAAAAAATGAAAGAAAGCAAACAAACAGAAGTGGTGGTCTGGTTCCCACACCCCCTCCCAATGCTCCCCAACCCTGTCACACTGTAACTCCCGCATGAATGGAGATCACAGCTTCCCTGTTCACTCCTCCCAACCCAACTACCACCACCTCTTCACCAACATCTGCCACAGTACCTGATACAGAAGAGGTAGCTACTGCTATCAAGACCAGTTTAGTATAATCATGATGAAACCAAGCTCTGAGCTCAAATTGCCACTCCACTGAGATTTACCAGCTGGGATCTTGGAAAGTTATTTAACCAAACTCTGCCCCCATGATCTGGTCTATAAATGAGGCTAATATTGTAACCTTAACTTGCAGGGTTTTTAATGAGTGTCAAATCAATTAATTGCTGCATTAAAAAAACCCTAAAACACCTGCCATATAGTTAAGTGCTCAAAAATTAATAGCTATTATTTACCGCATAAGGAAATGAATGAAGAAACTTAAGGTGATGGTCTGACATACTTTGCATAATGAAGGAATGATTTAAGGCAAGGATTTGTGTGGTAAACCTGTGATTAGTCGAAACAATTTAAGAAGAATGATATTGACATATTCAGATATTCAAACAACTACAACTTTTGGACTTTAAGACTACTTTAGTAATTGATGTTAATAATTTTTAAACTTAAGTCCCCATAGAATCTTAAAATTTGCTATGCTCTTTAACTAATGTTTTACCATATTTTATTTTCTCAAAGGCCTTGTGAGGTAAGTAAAGAATGGACTGCCCCTATTTTAGATTAAATTGCTTATTAGGTAAGGACATTTTTGTAAGACCAGAGGAAGAAATGTATCGTGTGTCTCAGTGCTCTTGCATATTTATGTTTGCAGAGTATATCTTATTTTGATGATGAGTTTTCATATGAATGCCTTTTGAGCTTTATTTATGATTTATGACTTGGATAGCAAAACTATGGATTGTAGTGATTAATCTAATTAATGATGGACATGATGGTTTTACAAGGGTAAATAATTTTCTTCATGAAGACTGATTAAACTATGTTATCTGTAAAGGTCAGCTGCACCAGTTTTGGTTAAAAGATGTAGACATTTGAAGTATAAGCATTAAAGAATATTCCAAAGATAATTGTCCCAAATATCTAAACCAGTACTTGTGGCTCAAGTAAATGCCTACTACAATGGCTATCTGAACATCATTTTGTACGTTTGCATGTTTGCTTTTATCTATTTTTTATTTCATATTAAACATAAGGCCAGTCCATGTAAGTTTCAAAGGAGTCACTAATTCTACCCTACAGATGAAAGTAGAGCTCAGATTTCTAGAGTTTTTTATTTCATTTTCACGCATTTAAATCAGTACCCATAAAAGAGCTTACAGCTTTTCTTCTTATGAAGAGTAATATTCTGTTACCAAACATTTCTGTGAGGTTTTTATCCAAAATCATTCTTCTTGGAAAGAAAATAAAGATATTGGTGGAAGAATATGGTCAAGGAAATTTTGTTATTCTGGATGGAATCCTGAAACATCTGAATATGTTTGTTTTTAAAATATATTATTTTAACTTTTAGGAAAAGCCCGATGGCTCCCCAGTATTTATTGCCTTCAGGTCCTCTACAAAGAAAAGTGTGCAGTACGACGACGTACCAGAATACAAAGACAGATTGAGTCTCTCAGAAAACTACACTTTGTCTATCAGTAATGCAAGGATCAGTGATGAAAAGAGATTTGTGTGCATGCTAGTAACTGAGGACAACGTGTTTGAGGCACCTACAGTGGTCAAGGTGTTCAGTAAGTAGTCTGCAGTACAACGACTAAGTGGGATTGATGGCTGATGCTTGACATGTACTTCAGAAAGAAGACTGAACTCTCTGTAGGGTCTCTATAGCAAACACCTATACTAGAGGACTTCTAGAAATTATTCTGCTCATACATGTTATCAGCAAGGAAAACAAAGAATCTGAAATTCAAATAGGAGATTTGCAGTAAGGAACTAAAATGATATTCTCTGTTGTTTTGTAATGTGAAAATTTCCTGAGTTACAGAGTACTACCGGTGATGACTAGCATGTGATCATGACTTTCACTGACATGTACAAATAAATGTTCTGTAATATACACATAGACACATAAACATATATAATCATGCATATCATACATACATATACATGAACTTGGCTGAATCATATGACATTGTCGTTTTGATTTATTAACAATAAAATACAGGCAAATATAAACTGTCTTATAACTTAGAGATATAAACTTTCCATGTATGTGTGTGTATATATATATGTATATTTATCCTGACCTTTAGTGCTTATTGGTTTAGATTTCAAAGGGTTCAATTTGTTTAGACAATTACCCTGAAATTTAAAAATCTCCCCACACTCTGAATATGTGAGATATACCAGGAGGAGAAATAGAGAGGAGAAAATTGTAGAAGAAATGGGGAGTAGTTACTGTAACCACGTAAAGTAACTATGGCAGCCACTTTGCCTAATGACAATATATAGTTAATGTTACTGTGCAAATAGTTATGGAAATGAATAACTTGAGAAGTTATAATTAAACTATTTCATCTTTTAAAACTCAAATAAAAAGTTCCACTTTCATTACCTCACGATATTTTAGAAATCACAGGGAAAAAAAATAGGCCTCAAAAGTTTCAGAATGCCAGTGTTTCGGTCTTTTTTAATTAAAGAAAAGGTTTCACTTTACAACTTTTTCCCTCTGCTTTCTGATAAATTGACAGCACCTAGAAATTATTAAAATAAATAAGGAAGGAAGAAACCTTGAGGGGCTTCCAACTACAGCAAGTAACCTTGGATTTTTCCTGTTTCTCTTGTAATAGCCTATGCATCTAAGTAGGTCTGTCCCTCAAGTATTTATATGGACTTCAAAGCTCCTATGGGCTCATGATACAGATTCAAAGAGTGCTTATGCTATCAAAGCAAACCTTTGTTCTCCAGAAGAACCTTGTAAAAGCATATTACATGTTTCAGTTGATTACCTTTCAGCTTCGAAGGCACTTTCCAGAAACCATCCACACTTCTCAAACATTTTATGAATCAAACCAAGTACCAAGTGTTTGCAGTCATGCCCATTTCCATAAAACACTGCAGTCTGCACACTGCATTTGCCAATGGCCTATGTATTTTTTTTTCCTTTTCTTTTCTTTCACTTTGATCTTATTAGGAAGATGGATGGTTCACTGCTCAGATCATTTTTTCTGAAGAGAATAACCAAAATATTGTTTGATGATAGGGCATGGGTTTCATAAATATAACTGGAGTAAGTACAGAGGTCAACTCACAGCATTATTAATAGTTATGTGTATTAATTTGTCATTATCAAGCTTCTTTTCTGTGTTAAAACTAAGAAACATCAAGATAGTATACAAGAGAGTTGAGAAAATTCAGGTTGTTCCAATTAGAAGAACAACCTGTGTCATATTTCAAAATATCTTTTTGTTTTAAAAAAATGCCATATAGAAATCTAAAAAAAAAAAATCAGTTAATCTAATTCAATAAAATGTGCACGCTGTTTTGGAATACAGAGAATTTCTATGGCTGTGAAAACAAACTCATACCCCACATACCACCAGCACCCCCCTGCTCCCTTCTCTTTTGAATGTTGCTGAAAACAAAGTGATTCTCAGAAACAGAATTTGCATTCCAGGCTGTGGGCCAGGGTGAATTTACATAGACAAGTTACACACTCTCGAAAATTGTGCTTTGTACAAGAAACCATAAGATCCTCTAAATCCAGTAAAATGAACAGCATAGTTTGTGATAAAGACAGTGTTTACAAGAGCATATAGGGGCTTTGCCTTTTAAATAAATTTACTTTGGGTAAAAAGAAAAAAAAAACAGCTGTGACAGGGAGACTTTCATTCTATGCCTGTATATATCACAGTCACTTAGGAGTTACTAAGCCCATCAATCAGTCCTCTGTTTCCCTCCGCTGAATCACCTAGCAACGTGCACTGTGTACCACTGAATCAAGTGTGGTTAACGGGAGCCAATCCCAAATCAGCCTGCTGCGAATTGCCATCCTCATGGAAAAGAGTAACATTGGTTTTATTCAAATTGAGCCCCTGATGGGAGAATTTAATGTAGGTTGGTTTCTTTAGTTTTAAGCTATGACTAAGATGCAAGAAACATACCTATAAACCATCCCAAATCCAAATAAGTAACATGCTTTATCACCACTAATCAGCTTTGTGGGGGGCAAGGTGTGTACTGGGGGAATGTGAGTTCAAATTGTGTTTGTATTTAGTGCACATTTGAGGTTTATAAAACCATTCAGAAGCAAGTGTAGACGTTTAGATGTTCCCAAAGCTTCATTCCAGTGAATGTGCAAGAGGCTTAGAGGTCAAATGGGTGCCCAGAGAGTGGGATGGATATCAACGATGAGATGGAAAAAAATCTCTGAGCTGGTCACCAGGAGACCTCACTCTGTCACATCTGCTGCTAATTTCTGACCTTGGGCAAGTCACTTCGCTGAGCCTAAAAGTCCCTCCCTCATCAGTAAAATGAATGCTTTGGATTAGATGGGAGGTTTTCCCCTTCGGTTGCTAGGAACCTTTTCAAGGAGCTATTGGTGAGGGTTGAGGAAGGTGAGGAGCTCCTTCCACACCATGAGCTAGAAGTCTGTCTATCCAGTAGTCCAACATTTTTCATAATTTTTTCATGAAAGCAAAGGTGAGGGGCTGGTTCCAGCTCTCAAAAAGCATTCAAACACCACAATCTGTGCTTATCTGCAAGTCTCCTACTCCGGTGGTGTTCCGTAGTACTCAAGGAAGGACATTCCCTGACACGGAAACTGATGTGCATGGGGACCAGTTCTTCTCATGGTGACAGGTTGTGTTTGTTGGCTTCACAGCAGGGCTTTTATTGAGATACTGTCCTCAATACTTTACTGAGTCGAGTATTCCTCCTTCCACCCTCCCCTGATACTCATTCTCCCTGAAAGTAAGTGTTTTTAGGTGGGGAGGAGATGAGAAGCAGAAAACAATCGGTTTAACAAATGAGACCTGGAGAAGAATGTCCTGTATAACTCTCCAGCTGATGTAAAACAAAAAGAAAGGTAGGGAAAAGTAAGGCCACTATTTATGAAATGTTTTAAATATTAAATATAGCTTAGTTTTTAATTATATATGATAAGACATTAAAAAATATTAGCAAAAATCTTACAATCTATTTGATTAAAAAAGAAATTATTTGCGTCTTGGCATTACATGCCATAACCATAGATATTGGCACATACTACATAAGCCGTGAATATTACTGCCCCTTCCCCAATACACACACACACACACACACACACACACACACACACACACACACACATATCCCCTGTAAAGTATGATCAGATTCACAATAAACATTTTAATCTCCCTATTCTATAATTTTAAACTATGGTAGTGTGATAGTGTGGTCTGTGAAAATATTGACCTGTGATAATAACTACTTCAATTAGGATAGTCAGGTCAGCAAAAAAGAAGAAAATGAACTAAGGCATGATTCTCCCATTTGATAAACGTCGATTGAGTGATTTAGAGAAACTTAGTTGGGAATGTTCAGAAACAAAATTTGGTTTAAGTTAGTATCCTTGACTAAATTACTTTAATGATGTAAATAAATTTGTGGTGTTTCTTTTCCTTTCAATTCTATACTTGGTAATGAATCCTTGAATCATATTAAGATATAATTCACATAAAGTTTTTTTTTAACACATTGGAATCAATATGCAATTTTGCTAAAATAGTATGTGTCCTTTTTTATGGCCCTCCAACTAATATCCATCAATTGTTACAATATAAGAAAACTATATATAAGAAAACTATATACAAAATATGTAGTTAATATAGAGGGTTTGAAACAAAAGTTTAAGGAAAAGGTAATTCAAGGAAATGCAATAAGCATTACTGTTCCTTCACAATACCCATTGTGACTCTTTTCCAAATAGAAAGATGAATAATAATGTAAATAATACTAAACATTAAGTATCCTTTCATTAGATTTCCTTAGGTTTGCTGTAGTTTCATTTTATTGCAATAATAAGGAATTTTAGAAATCATTTATAGGAACAAAGTACACATGACCAGTACACACCATGATTATGTATTATGTGTGCATTGATAAAGCATCATAGAGTTTATGAAGCAAAGTAGAGGTATACATTTTATATAAGAGAAAGTGTGTGCCCAACTGTTTTGATATTTTACTTTGGTGAACTGGAATGTAGGGAACTTGGCAAAACTGCCCAGCAAATCTTTGTATTTAGAGACTAAATTTGTGGGAGGAATTTGCAAATATCTCCACATATTCCAGGCATAGTACTATTGAAGGAAAAACAAAGAGTAACTTGTCTGTCTTTTTTTCTTATTATTTGTGACTCTTGATTGACCACATAAATTAATTTAATATTTTATTTCTATTAAATTCTCGGAAAGGGTGTCACTGATAACTGATTTTAGTTTCCAGGGAACTTTGCCTTACTTAAGCCTCAAGAATTTTCCTTTTGTTTAAATATTTTGGATGCACTCTTCTCTCAACTGTATTAGATATTTGCCTCAAACAAGACTCAATGTTTTATTAATAACAGAGCTTTGATTATGAACATTAATAATATCCCATTAAAATAGTGATAACATCAAGGTTTACTGACATGTGGAAGGTTTCAACCTCCGTATGTTTCCAGAAACTAGTGTCTATTTTTAGAGGTTTTTTAAACCAACTTTTTAGAATTTTTTGTTTACCTGTTTAACAGTCAGATAGTCAGGTGTCACTTCTTGTTTATGTGAACGTTAACTGTCTCTGTTGTACCTTTCTGTTCTTTCATATTTAGTTTTTCTCTTGCTCTGTCTTTCTTATGTTTTCTTTCCAATAAGTGTATTTGGAAAATAGAAAATCATCATTTTGAAAATTGTATTATTAGAATTGTATTTCTAGAATTAATAGTAAATAGGCCCTCCCATTACTCAAATGCATGAGTTCAACACACAGAAAGATTTATTATTATTAATTATTCTAATTTCCAGTAGAAAACATACTTGCAAAGGGGAAATTAACTCTAGATAGTAACCAGAAGAATGTTATGTTACTTTATTTTTCATATTGTCTGGTGATATCCATTCTACTACCCCAAAGACTCTGTCATTTTCCTTGTTTTCTATAGTGGCATGGGTGGGTAACATGTCTCATAACTGACTTCCAAGCTGAGTGATAATTATACGAAAGCCAATATAGTTTAGTTTGGAAATAAAAATTAAAAGTATTAGAGGTTGCAAATAATATTATAAGAGAAAAAATAGCTGGTTGTTTTTAATTTGTTTTCGATATGAGAATAGAATAATTCTGGTCTGCAAGACTCAGGAAAATCAGTAACAATGAAGTCGTGTACATTTTCTGTAAACTAATTGTTGAAGTTATTTAAAAAACACAAACTTCATCAACAATAGAAAGTAGCAACTAAAAATTAAATAACAAAATTAATTTAAATAACAAATTGTTGCTACATTTTTAATCAATTTTTCCCCGAATTCTCAGTTTGTTTATAGAACTTCCTGTATTTAAAATGCTTTTTTCTTGGCTAAAGTAAACTGAGGAAAATACATCTATACTTTGTAGCCTTTGGCAATTTCAAAGATAATAAAGCAAGGAATAAACTAATTGACTTGAGGGTTGCCAATAGTAGAAAACTTTAAAAAAATAAAATGCTTTTGCCATCATTTCAGATTCCACATTTTAAAGATTTCCCACATTTATAGTTTTCCTGTTGTGACTTGACTTGAAAGATAAAGTATGGGATATTTTAGAAATCTGGTCTACATTCCTTTACTAGCTTTCTATTTCTCACAATTTTAAAACAGGGTTTCTCTAACTTTATTGTGCCAAGAATCCCCTAGGAATTTGTTAAAAATGTAGATTTATGGAATTTTTCCCCAGAGATTTTGATTCAGTAGGTCAGGTAGGGCTCATAAATTTGCATTTTAAACAAGTACCTAGTGTGATGGTGATTTATGTAAATCCATATCTTCCCCTAATGTGTTGGAAGTTATTGATAAGTAGAAAATGCCCTTGATAATCAGAGATAATATTTCCTTTATAGCACATAGCCTCTGTTTCACTACTTATATAGCATCCAGAAAGAATTATAGATATTTTATTCAAAGGAGTTATAAGCATTTAAAATAATATTTAAGATAATAAAATAAATATTTGTAATTCCAGATCAGGTAGTGAAATCTGTTTTTTTATTCTGTTGCTTAATTCTCTGTTTTGGTAAATGAATTATTTTTGCTGTAAACCAAATCAAAGGTGTGCCTTTCTTCTTCTATGTGTACTTAAAATCTTTCTCTGCTTAACTTTAGAGCAACCATCTAAACCTGAAATTGTAAGCAAGGCCCTTTTCCTTGAAACAGAACAGCTAAACAAGGTGAGAACTCTTTTTTATTAATTACCTTTACTTAGCTAGTGTTAAGAGCCTTCTTCTGGCTTCAGAGGCCAGGACAAATATGACAGATTATGTGGACATTGAGGAAGGTGGGGTCCTTTCCGAAGGGAGCAGCCTGTCTTATTTGAATGAATTGATTGCTTTGCAGAATGAATAGATTTGCTCCAGGTCAGATGTAGAAGGGGCTTTTTAACAATATGAAATGACAAGATGCAAAAGAGAATGGCATGTTTGGGGAAACAGCATTTGCCAATGCTAAAACTCTGGGCACCAAGATCAAAGGCAAGAGAAGGCAATAAGAGACCAATCTGGAGAGTTAGAGAAAGCTGAATCTTAACAAGTCTTGTATGCTGTGTTGGGAGTTTGGATTTTATTTACAAATTAAACTATTTGAAAGACTGATATAAAGATGTGAGAAGATCAGATATGAACAATCACATTAGTAGAGATGTGAAAGGAAGCCATACTGAAGTGGAGGACAAAGTTGTACCATATTGGGCATACCCATGGAACAATAATCTCATTTTCAATAACTTAAGTGCATAAGATTTTTTTTGAGGGACAAAGGAAACCCGAGTCCAGAGTTCTTTGATTCATATTAAATTTTACTGCATAATATTATTTGATAGATACCAAATATTAAAGTTAGAACACATTTGAAGAAAGTGACGGGGAGTATAGAGCATGGTTTATATATATATATAAATATATATATACAGTCTGAAATATATATACTGTAAGAAACTGGAGAAGCAGCCCCAATCTAACACAGTAATTGATTTTTGCATATGAAGAGTCACAAATGTGGGTAATAGTCAATGTTAATATATTTATGTTATTCATTTAATGTTGAAAATGAATAGTGTCAAGATGCATTTTATAATGCTTTTAAGTGAATGTGATTTTATTAATAGTGACAGAATCTATTGTACATTTTCAAATGGACAAGACTATATTTTTAAATACAAGACATTGTTTTTATACCAGAGAGAATATATTCAGTCCTTATTCGGTGTCGGAAAACAAATGGGTCAAGAAGCCTTTGGAATAACTCTGCATTGCTTGAGGATTCTGAAGCTTCCAAACTGACAGTTCCTGATTAAACCACAGTAATAACATTTCCTTTTTATTTTGCAGTTGGGTGACTGCATTTCAAAAGACAGTTATCCAGATGGCAATATTACATGGTACAGGAATGGGAAAATGCTGCAACCCCTTGAAGGAGGTGGGTATGAGGTGGGCTATAAATTCAGATGACCTGTTTTGACTTTCTTTTGTCTAGGCATTCAGTAAACTATCTAGCATCTAAATATGTTGCCCTCTTTTGATCTATGACTGTATACTTTGTTACTTCAAGTATTCACTAAATTATTAAGTGATTGTTTTAACACTCTTTTTAGCCCTTGTGCAAAAGAATCAGGAGTAGGGGGAAATTATTTCTGTATATGGCATGTTCTAGAAGTTAATTTAAGTGAGTGGGAGATAGGATTTCAGGATTCTATTTCTATGTCTCTGATTCATGGTTTTTAGAAGATATCATACCTCACTACATGTCAATTTTCCTTCCTGTTATACTCAGTTAGAAGTATAAAACACTTCTCAAAGGGGTTGTGATGTTTAATTAAAGATTGTAATTATCCAGTGAAAGATCCCATCCTTCGTGTTCTTTATTTTTTTCAGCGGTGGTCATCATTTTTCAAAAGCAAATGGACCAAGTTACTCAGCTCTATACTATGACTTCCTCCCTGGAATACAAAACAACCAAGGCGGATATACAAATGCCATTCACCTGTTCAGTGACATATTATGGACCATCTGGTCAGAAAACAGTTCATTCTGAACAAGCAATCTTTGATATTTACTGTAAGTAACTCAGTATATGATTAGATAATTTAATGTATTCAAAAATAATATTCAAATGTTTTTATTCTTTGGAGTCCCCATCTAATTGCTCTTTGAATTCTGCTTCCAACCTGTATCCCAAACCCATGAGTCCCAAATAATCTCTTTTTCCCTGGGAGATATATAGAATAGATGTTTATCCATCTTATAATAACTTTCACTCTCTATGTATGAGCATCTCTTCTGTGTTCTGATACATGCTGAGTACCTTAAAAATATAATCGCTAACTTGGTCAAGTCCTTCTGGTAGTCCTCAGCCCTGATACATTGCCATAAATTTAGAACTCCAAATGCTTACTGATCATTTTCTGAATGAATGGCAGATACAGACTCATGACTGACTGGCTTTCTGAATAAAGAATTAGCATTTTAATGAAGAGGTGTATTTTAATAATGAGATTAGTTGCATTAGTTAGATAGAATGTTGTATTCCAAGATGTTTTGGTTGACTGCATTATAGATCTGAAACAGAATATTGGAGTACAGATGAATCTTCATAGTCATCTGGTCTAACTCCATTATTTTACTTAGTAGTGAAGTACAGAGACTTGACCTAAATCATTTATAGGAATTGGAATAGAAGATTTTTCTCCACTGATGTGTTTTTTCTTATAAGATAATGTTTCTCCATTGTTGTGTTTTTTTTCTTTTTTTTCTTTTTTCTTTTTTGAGTTGGAGTCTCACTCTGTCACCCAGACTGGAGTGCAGTGGCCACTCCCAGCCACCGCAGCCTCGACCTGCTGGGCTCCGGCGATTCTTCTGCCTCAGCCTTCCGAGTAGCCGGAATTACAAGCATGTGCTACTACGCCCGGCTGATTTTTTGATTTATTGTAGAGATGAGGTCTCGCTGCCCAGGCGGGTCTCGAACCCACGGGCTCAGGCAATCCACTCACCTCAGCCTCCCAAAGGCGCGGGATTACAGGCTGAGCCACCGAACCTGTCTACGTGTTTTTTTCTTATAAGATAGATGCCACAATAATGATTAAGAGCAAAGATGCTGGTATTTCAGCCCCAGTCTTGTAATTACTGTGTGATTCTTTAAAAAATAGCTTACTCTAAATCTGTTTTCTTAGCTTGTGATGTGAAAAAATATAATACTTAACTTGCAGTGTTGTTATAAAGAGTAAGTGGAATCACAAATTGAAAATAGCATACTACATCGTACATTAAAATGCTCATCCTTAAATACTATTGTCATTATTAATATAGGACCATTATCACATAAATTTATATGTATACAAAAATTTATACATAAATATAGAGCTGAAGATATTTTGGGAGAAAATGCAAGAAAGGATTTTATTATTTTTATTATTATTTTAAAGGAATCAAAAATTCTTGTGATACTGGCATGTGTTCTAAAATAACCTAGCACTTTTGCACTTATTCTAGAGAAAAGGCAGAAATGCCTGCTGTGCCCTGGAGAGTTTTATCTCATCTATATTTCTATTTGGATTCCTTAGGGCACAAAATTTTACACAGGAACTAAACCGAAATTCCATACTTGCACTGACATTAAAGGGTTGTTTTGCCTTAAACTTGGTAAATAAGTTTCAAGAAGATTTAAGAGCAGAAAATCAGAGTATTTCATCATATATAACTTATTTAAAATTAAACTATTATTTCTGTAAAAGAAGAAAGTATTCTTTCTGCTCAAAATATGCAATTGGAAATAAACCATCTTGGTGTAAGTGTGGGGGTACAAGATAGGAGAGAGCATCAAGATGAGGAATAAGAAGTGGGAAATTGGCTTGAGAAAAATTAGGAAATCCATGTGTGTGTTGGGCATGCAGAGTTGAGTGGGCAGATAAATCCTTGGACGATTGTGAAGGAAATGATTTTATGGTCCTGACTGTGTAGGATGCACATGACATGGCTTTTGAAAAGCACAACATATGTGGTGCTGAGCTTCATGAAGAAGTCAGAAAGGATTTAAGACACACACAGTCCTGACATTCAAGGAGTTTTCTATTCCAGTGGAGAAACAAGACACTACATAGAAGGAAATTGTCAATACAAGGTAACAAGTGGTTAAGTACTACAGGAACTCAGTGAAGAGTCCTGAAAACTCAGGTGCCCATTGAAAATGGTTCTCAAACTGTAGTTGCATCAGAAGAACGTGAAGTGCCTGTTAGAGCATAGGTTGCTGGACCCCGCCCTTCACTTTCTGATCCAACAGGTGTGAGGAGGTGCTTGACACAGAGCATTTATAACAAATTCCCCAATGATGCGAACACTGCTGATCTGAGGACCACGTTTGGAGGACCACTGCTCTAGGAAGACTTGAGAGAAGAGGAAGAAAGAGCTAAATGAAAAGGAGTGAAGAGCACATTCAAAAAAAGTATTGAGTTCATCTTGAGAAAGCTTGAAAACGATACCCTAGTCCATGCCTTTCTTACCCTACTCAGTCAGTAATGAAGAGAATTTGAGCTCTTAAGTCTTTGTGTTTATCTCATTTTTGTCTTCTGGCACTGTCTGAGCTTATGCCACCGTTCCTCATTGCCTGTGTTTCTGCAATGAATTCCAAAATACTATTACTCCTGTCTGCCCCTCTCTTTTCTGCTTGCTCACCCCCAAACAAGCAGCCCTCCAAGCTGCTGCCAGAAATATTCTTCTAAAACACAAATGTGATAGTGTTCCTGCTATGGTTAAAATTTCTCAACAACTTCCCAGAACTCTGAGATTAATCTCCACACTCCCTACTGCAATAAACCTTGAGTCTCTTTTTGCTTCAATCCTACACTATGTCCCAAGCTTCATCACTGTACTGTACCCACTGTGGTCTGTTCTATTTTCCAGAGTCTTCCTGTAGAATACTATTTTTATGTCTACCCATACACTGTCATTATCCCACCTTTATATCCTTTAGCAAACACCTACTTATTTTTCAAAACCCAGCTCCAGGGTCAGTTCCTCCTGCAAACTTCCCAGTCTCCCGCATCCATGGCTACCAGTGATCTTTATGCTTACGCTGTACACAGGTTTTATGTGGTCACAGTCTTGATTATTATGTTTGTTGTCTTCATGATTGGAGTGAAAGGTCATTAAGCCAAGGGAGAATTGCTTTCAGCTTTATAATTCCAGCACAAAATAGATGCTAAACAAATGAATAAATGACTGGCAGAGGGATAAGTGGATAGATGGGAGAGCATTTTATTAGTCTTTATGCTATTAAGAGGGGGTTTCTGTAGAGTAGTGAGAGAGAAGATTCTCACTTGAGCTAGGTTCAAGTCAAATTACCCATACCAGGTTATGGAATTTTTAGTCATAACCTTTATATATTGGGAATGTGTGAAGGATTTTTAACATCAAGGAAATATCCAAAGCACTACTTCAGAAAACTGATTCAGATGAAATACTTATGAAAAATAGAAAGAAGAGAGCAAAGTGAGGGACCAAATGAAATCTGATGACATTGCTTCAGGTATAAGTTAGCTGGGGAGCGGACCAAGGAAGTATTAGTAGGAATAGAAGAGGAGAATCAGGGACAAAATATGTTACAGGGTATTAATCATCAATACTTAGTGTTTGAGTGGATAAGAGAAAATAAAAGAGAAAGCCAGAGTAGTAGGCAGAACGATGACTTGCTATTAGGCAGAGTAAAATACAAAGATGGGACGAAAGGAGCACAACAAATCATTAACTTTGAGGTAGGCATGTTAGTAGACATCCAGAAAGTCATGGTTAAAATGCAAATATGTTGCATTAACCCTTTGATGACAGTTGAGTTCTTAAATTCTCAAATACAGAGCAGAGCCTATGGAAAAGGGAACACAGAGAATGGGAGTTTTGAAATAGAGGAGGAAGTTAGATTGTGACTCTTGGCTGTTCTGGTGTCAGCTTTGATCAGAGAGATGCCACAGTGACACGATGCAGGACAAACCTGAGCGCTAGTCAGAGAAGAGCCATGGAAAAGAGTGGGAGAGGCCCAGAAATGGAAGGTCAGTGAGGCACCAAGAAAAATTTGTATTTACTTTTCAGCTTTACTGGGAACTGCTGGTTGGGAAGCTACCTCAGCCAAATTGAGAAAAACAAACCAGCAGTATATTAAGCCAACCATTGCTGAGCCTCAGCATATTATGGGCAAATATTCAGAGATGGTTAGTGGTAGGGAAAAGGCAAAGAAGCAATCTATAACAACACTTGCAACTGTTTTTTCTGCACTTAAATCATAGAAAGATAAATAAATGCCTGCCATAGATAGACAAAAGCCTCCAAAACTACACTGCTTCATTTCTCTTTACAAGCTAATAACAAAATACATCTTCACAGATGATAGATTATTTTTATGCCATCAGTTTGAAAATGTAGACATGTGCCTCAATAATTACTAAACCTTGTGGAAAAGATTCTCTAAAAATAAACCTTTGCATTACATTATTTCAAAATATACTATTCATTGCATTATCCAGCTATATAACAAATAGATAAGTTTGAAAGTGGACCATTTATAACTGCCACTACCACCACCGTTTATTTCCTGTTTGCTAGAATGACCCACTGTATCCAGCCTTTAATTCCTTTAGTGTTCTACTGTTGAGTAGTAGCCTGTGCTAAAGAATACCCTTTAGCCCTATTTTATCCATAAATATGACCAAAATGGAATGAAAGTTGCATCTTGGCTCCGATGAACAGGACAAAATTACAATACATTTGCAGGACTGTTGATTGTGTTAAGGGTCTCCCTCAGTTCACAGGATTCATCTTTTTGAAAGCAAATCCACTCTCTTGCATGCCAAAACCTTTGCTGGTATTATTTACCTCATGTCTCCTCTTTTTATTTAATATATTATTATATAATAGGAGTACAGTGGTGCCTATTAACCTTAGCTACGTTGCTGGCTGATTTTGTCTTTCCAAATTACAAGATTCATATAATATTGTTAAATTTGCTGATAATAAAATCATACAGTGAGATTGTTCCTACTGGTCCTTTATGCATAAAATAATTACGGTCATTCCTACCTCAGTTAAAGACATTTTTCTAAGAAGGAATTGATTTTTATGTAACAGGATTTCTTTGTCATTTGCTCTAACTAAGTTCAGTACTTGGTATAGCAAGTGGCTATTAACTTCAATCCTTCTATAAAAAGATTTTTAAGTGATTACCATTACTAGCTTCTTGAGAAAATGGTATATAATTTAGTCCTGTACGTTGTATGCACAGAATAATTTGGTACTTGATGAAAATGGCTAACTTGTGTCTGGGACTCTTGCAGATCCTACGGAGCAGGTGACGATACAAGTGCTGCCACCAAAAAATGCCATTAAAGAAGGGGATAACATCACTCTTAAGTGCTTAGGAAATGGCAACCCTCCCCCAGAGGAGTTTTTGTTTTACTTACCTGTAAGTGCTTAAGTATTACTTGAGCTAGACTACTATCATCTTTTCCTGTGTTTGACTTCTGGTTGACATTTAAGAATCGTACAGATGTGGATGGAATCAGTGAGGAAAAAAATGTCATTTCTAGGGATGAGGGACACCAGCTATAGAATGTTCTGTGGAAACTCTTTCAGCATCTGCCAGTGTTCTTGCCTTTTTTCTCAATGTTGAGAGATTTTAGGGACAAATAAGAGGGAAAAGCTGGCCTCAGGAAACCATAATTGCAAAATCTCAAGGCTTTTATTATCAAAATAAGCTATAAGCATCTGCTCTTCAGAAGCAGATGACTATCAAATGATAACTGATAACAGCAAATGGTCTGATATGGATTCTAAATATCCACATTGTGTCCCTGAACACAACTCTGATCTTTGGAGGCAGGGTTAGTTCTGGGCACATTATATTTAGAGTAAGGCTACGAACCCTTTCTTGTCATTCTGTATAATCTTGAAGCGCCAGTTCCTCAACTTTTCTCCCTATCATGGCTGAAGGAAATGGTATGCATAGAGGCTTCTTTGAAAAATTCCTCTAGGATGTGCTCTGGATGTCATAGGGATATGGAAGCAGGCTAGGAAAGAGCTCTGTCTGAGGATACCTGTTTACTCTCCCACGTCTTTGAATTTGACATCACCTTCACATTGAAGGAAGCCATATTAACTCAATACTGCATTTACTGCAGGGATGTGCCTATGAATTTCATCCACTATTTTACTCAATGGTATTTAAGAATATCATTCACTACCTTATTCAGGAGATTAGTATAAGTAATTTCTTTTATGTTAACAAAAAACTTCATTTCTCCTAACAAATTAACATACTGTTTTTGCTTCATTTACAAAAAAAAATTAAACGAATTATATTTCCATTTTGGCTGAGAGGGTTAGCAGAGCCAAATTTGTGTCTTGGTTTTAGCAACAATATCTGCTGATTATCATTTTTTGTTGTTGTTAACATATGTTTATACTTCATCTATATTTTACATAATTTGCTATTGTTCTCTCTTATTTCTTTTTCTTTCTCTTTCTCTCTTTCTCTCTTCTTCTTTCTCTCCTACCTTTCTTCTTTCCCTCCTTTCTATCTATCCTTTTTATTTAGAAATATGGCATGTTTTCATTTAAACTGACAAATATTTTGTCTGATGAGGTAAGGCATAAATATAAAAATAAAATATAGAACATATTTTAAAATCTCATGTGAAACTCAAGCAAAAACCGCACTTTCGATAAAATAGATATATATCAATATCATATACATTAGCTCTCAAATTTCTTAGAACCAAAATGAGAATTATTTCTCTCAGAATCAAATGTTCATAACACAAACAGCACTCTCCTTTTTGTCCAGTCAATGCAACATATTCTCTTTTTTTCTTATCTGAGAAACTGCTATCTTCATCAAGAAATATAACAGTTCTCATTGTAGCTACCAAGTATAATCATGTGACATTTTGCCTCTCTCAAAGGGACAGCCCGAAGGAATAAGAAGCTCAAATACTTACACACTGACAGATGTGAGGCGCAATGCAACTGGAGACTACAAGTGCTCCCTGATAGACAAAAAAAGCATGATTGCTTCAACAGCCATCACAGTTCACTGTAAGTCACCTACTTCTTCATTACCAGCTGTACTTTAAAGGACTCTAATCATCTATGTAGCTATCTTTTCAAATCACTTGCTGCTCTATCTTTCTTAAATAACTTGGCTTCAATAGATTTAGTAGAGAGGGTCAAAGTGAGCTTAACTTTGGTCCAGATTTGCCCTGCAAGATCGAAACCTTGTGTAGATCTGACAACTGCAACTTTTGGTGATGGTAAAATGTCTTCAATTTGTGGTGTCAATAAGCAATATTCATATGGATCTTAAGGAAACAACTCATTATATATTTTAAAAAGTTATTTTGACTCTCTTGAAGTTCACCAGGTTTGCGGCTGGCCAACAAAAGTATAGATTATCAGTTTTTATTACAGAACAATATGAACACCTAAACCCAGGCAACATAAAGTTACTGTAAACTCAGCTTTCGGAAGAGAAAATGGAGAAAATTCAAAGTTATTCATTGACTGAATCTAGAAAGATAGAATATTTCTAGAAACAGAACCTCTTCAAAATCACTTTGGACATAACTTTTTAACTTTTAATTTGCTTTTACCTCCAAATATCCCAAAAGTTATATTTTGCCCTAATGTGATGGGAAAAGAGATACCTATAGACATAGAACTTGAGCTTTTTAAAATTTTCTGACTTATGACAGTTCATTTTATTGATGCATCTGATACACCATGGAAACAGTAAACGAATACACACTGAACCCTGGTGACACTAGAATTCACAAAGTGCTTTGGGCAAATGTCAGTCTCACTTGGAGATACAAAACAAACTCTAATTTTGCATCCAACTGTACCATTGATAAGGCTACAATCCCACTGAATATGAAGAGACTTTAGAAATTGTCCTGAGTACTTAGTGCTAAATCTTTCACTCTATCCATGTGAGTAATGCTTGAAAAACATGTGGGATGGAAGCTAAAATTTTGAGAGATACCAGTAGGTACATTGGGGAATGAAGCAACCAGATGGTTGCCTTTGATTGTCTGATGTCAGGAATGCACTCTGGGGAACTCTGTAAAAACAGTGGACTGCTAAAAAATGTTCACATCTGGACTATTTCTCTCTTTCCTCCATATTCTTGTTGCACGGATTTGAGTGTGTCTGCCATCAGGGGCTAGTTAGAGAGAAAGTAGTGACCTCTCAGTGTAATAATAGTGCCACTTTTCCTCTGAAGACCAGGCAGACATAGGACCATTTATCCAGGTCTGTTTTATGGGGAAAAAATAGTGAAGTAAGGGAATATAGCCAGCAAATAGAATTGCCTGTAGAATAGCTTTCTGATGTCATTGTTCATGATGAATTTAGGCCAATAACCAATGATCTAGTGTGTTAGAGATAGGGTGACATGTTTATGTTTAGGAGGTGCTGGGTGCACAGGATCCTTAAAAAAAGAGGGCCCTTATTTATATTACCTGTAGGTCAGGCAGGGAGGACTGCATAGCAGACTGGCCAAGCAAAAGACTTGGTTGCAGTCACATAGTGTCTAGTGCCTAGATGATCAGCTCTGATGCGGGGGTGGGGAGAGGATTAAAAAATGCATAACTGTTTATTGGATTTTAGTGCATTTAATTAGATTTAAATGCATTTTGGTTTTGACATGTAGACTGTAACATTGGGTTTTGAAGCCCTATTGATCTTCAAAAGCTGAAAAAAGTATTAGAAGTAAATCAACATTTAACTCTAAACTATATGAAAGCATAAAAATCCTATTTTTGCCCATGTATCTTTGATCTCTTGGTTATTTTCCAAAAACAAGATGTGTTTCCTTTCCATAGAGGACTAAAAGGAGTATGAGTAGAGAAGCATCTACCTATTCCTACACATGTTTGCAGTACAGACCACATGATTCCCATCTTACAGATTTCTAGATGCTGATGAAACAGCTAGCATGCCTCTGCCAATTTATACCCACATAGATTCTTCATCAGAACATTCAAAGTCCATAATCATCCTTTAACATCTTTTATCCTCTCACTGACAAATTGCCTATCCGGCTGATAAGAGCTTCTAGCCCATCCTAAATAAAATTTTCATCTAAATATAGTTCACTCAGATAGTCAAAAGAAACTCCACTTTTCTATGTAGTGGCGCATGTTTTAATTTTAATAGGAAACTGAGACACCCACTTCTTCCCTTCATTCATGAAACAATCGTGTCTGAGATCCTACCATGTGGCAGACACTATTGGTACTTCAGTGACAAATCAAGCCATGGTCCCTACCTTCACGGACTTTACAGTAACAGGAGAGATGGACATTAAAAAGCAATGTTGCCAACAACCAACAAATTGCAATTGTAACATGTAAAACCAAAAAGAAACACAGAATGCAATGGCAAATTTCAATACCATAGCATATAGACTCAACTCCTAGTGTGGCAAGCATGATCCTTTGCAGTCTTGGTCTCAACTAATTGTATATGTTTAATTTCCATGAGGAAACATGTACCAGTTTACTCGGCACTGTGAAATCTGCCAAGCTCTCTCACCTCTTTGCCTTTGCTTATATGGCAAATATTTTCCTTATATCTCCATCTATCAAAACTTTTCCCAACCATCAAGGACCATGTACAAAGTCTTTATTATTGCTTTGAAGTTCAGTTTGGCTCTTTTCTCTTCACTCCCATAGTCTTTCTTTGTGTTTCTGTTTCTAACTTGCCATTAATTTTTCAACAAATGTTTATGAGCTCTAATCTGTGACAGATTTGCTAAGGGGTGCTGATTTCGTGGACTGTGTATTATGTGTAGCCAGTTGAGTGCATGGTACCTCTACCTCATGGAAATATAAGCTAATTCTTCATCTCTGTATCTCCTATCGGTGCTTGGAACATAGTAGTTGTACAATAAATATTTGTTCAATGGAATTGGGTTTTTCTCTTACAGATCATACTATGACATTAAAATGTTTATAGAAATTATTTTCCATCGGAAAGATTATACATCCTTAGATGCATTTTGTTTTTAAATAACAATATCTGCTGACATTGTACCTAACAATATATTTTATTTAAAATATCGCTGCATAAGAAATAGAATGGCAGCCGGGCTCGGTGGCTCAGCCTGTAATCCCACGCCTTTGGGAGGCTGAGGTGAGTGGATTGCCTAAGCCGGTGGGTTCGAGACCCACCTGGGCAGCGAGACCTCATCTCTACGATAAATCAAAAAATCAGCCGGGCGTGGTAGCACATGCCTGTAATTCCAGCTACTTGGAAGGCTGAGGCGGAAGGATTGCCAGAGCCCCAGCAGGTCGAGGCTGCGGTGGCTGGAAGCGGCCACTGCACTCCAGTCTGGGCGACAGAGTGAAACTCCAACTCAAAAAAAAAAGAAATAGAATAGCATTTTTAAAAATCTACTACTGTAGTCCCTTTTTTCTGAAGAAACACATAGACTATCTCATGGTTTTTCTATTTATCGCCTGCTATCTATACTTGATTTTCAAGAATTTATGTCTTACCATCTCTTTTGTTATAGTATTTACCTAGTGATCGTCTTTCTTTATTTTTTTCCGGAAGTGATATGAGATTTTTTTTTCTTAAGGTGATAAATCCTAGGAGTATTTTTATATGCCCTCAAAACATCAATCACGTTAACTGCAAAAAAATGGATAATCAATTAAATTGACCATTCACTTATCTAAACTGAACTCAAAGATGGCTTGAAAACCTAGGCTAATTATGCTACAGTTCAGTTATTTCAGTCACATAAATCGGTTCTGAATTTTCAAGTTCAGTTAGGATGAAATTTTTTTCTTTCATCTTTTCTTCTCCAAAATATTTTGACTGTCTTACATTCTTGGAGTTTGCATTTTGAGCAGATTTTCTGCTTCACAGACTTGGATTTGTCCTTAAACCCGAGTGGAGAAGTGACCAAGCAGATTGGTGATGCCCTGCCTGTATCATGCACAATATCTGCTAGTAGGAATGCAACTGTGGTATGGATGAAAGTAAGTGTTTTTTCTTCGTACTACCCTGCTATTTAGACTGGTTTCTTTTTAAGTTTATTTAGTACTTTATATCATATCCAAATTTAATATATATATATGTATGTATGTGTATATATATGTGTGTGTGTTTATACATGCACACTCATATTCTCACTCTTCTCAGTATAAATCAAATCACAATAAAATTATAGAACTGTTCAACAACAGGCTTCATAATCGATGCTCTGAAGCTTTGTTGTGTTACTCTAATTATTCTAAGTAATTATACACACACACCTGCGTGCTCATACACACAAACACAGTGCGTATATACCTTAGGACTTAACAATTACAATGTGCTCTAGCCCACATTATCCTTACAGGGTGACACCTACAACAACTCTGTGAAATATAGAGATTAGTTATTATTTTTCCCTTCTTACGCTTAAAGATTTTAAGGCAAAAGAAATCAGAACTGGCAGAGTTAAGAATCGAAGTCAGGCCTTGCTGACATAAATACCAGGCTTCACTAACACACCTTTGTATCTCTCTGCTGCTGAAATTACTCCCGTTTCTAAAAACAGAATCCACTGGATTACAAGCCATAGTAGGACACCTAGAATATACTAGGAACTTATTAAAAATTTCCAATGTAATACTATAAGAAAATGACAGACAGTGGTGGGAAACTATGGCGGGGGGAGGGGAAGGGAGATGGGATTAATGGTAGTAAATATTGCCGGGCTCGGTGGCTCAGCCTGTAATCCCACGCCTTTGGGAGGCTGAGGTGAGTGGATTGCCTGAGCCCGCGAGTTCGAGACCCGCCTGGGCAGCGAGACCTCATCTCTACAATAAATCAAAAAATCAGCCGGGCATGATAGTGCATGCCTGTAATTCCAGCTACTCAGAAGGCTGAGGCGGAAGGATTGTCAGAGCCCAGCAGGCAAGGCTGCGGTGGCCGGGAGCGGCCACTGCACTCTAGTCTGAGCGACCGAGTGAGACTCCAACTCAAAAAAAAAAAAAATGGTAGTAAATATCTGTCTGGGAATGGGGAGACACTTCTTATCAACAAGGGTGCCTGAACGAAGCATATTTGTATACCTAACTCTTAACTGTACCCAACAATATCATGATAAAAAATAAATAAATAAATTTCCTGAGTGAGTATATATATTAACATCCCAATAATTGTTTGAAATGCAGGCCTTTATCTGGGGACTCAATCATTGGTATCTTTTCATCGTGAGAAAGTAGAATTAATACTAGGTGATGTGAGACAAAGCTATTACCAAGGGAAAAGATTGTGACTGTGATCCCATCACTTAAAACCTTGGCAACTTTACCCAAACACACAGCACATTTGTTATCAGAGCACAGCATGTGGCAAGAACCCTTAACCAGTGATGTGTTGAGAAAACACACATGCCACTTGAAATAGGAGTTGACAAAGATTATCTTTACAAAAAAATTGTGGAGAAATTTCTTGCTAGAGCTTCTTTTTGATGAAAATATAAATTATTTTGTATTGCTTTACTGTCTGCCTTTTGATCCCTTTTGACGCTCAGTCCTCGGTGATCTGCTGTCTTAGAACTCAGTTTCTTATATCACTCCCTTTCAGCCACAGCCTCATCACAACTTCTTGTTCATTAAGATAAATTGTCCCTCCATAGGCTACATATTTAACAAGACATGTTTGTAGTAGTCAGTGGTTGCAATGCTAGGCAAGCTCTGGGTGTCTAGACCAATTAATAATGATATGGATTCCCATAGCATCTTTCACTACAGGACTAGAGAAACTAAATTTACTGTAGTTAAACTTGTTTTTACATCAATTGCAGCCACTGCTGTTGATTGAATACCTAGTGTGTTCAATCATTTATTAATACCTAATATATTCAAAATAGTGCTGACCAATACTGCCTGATCACTGGATAGTTGATAGGGAATGGGGAAAATATCCTAATGGACAAAAACCACACAATCTTAGAATTGTGTTTAATTATGTGTATTTACTAAGTAATTATACACACACACGGGATCATACACACAAACATAGTTATATGCCTTAGGGCTTGACAACTTACAATGTGCTCTCACCCACAATATTCTTCACTTCAATTTATAATAAAATAGAATTTTTTTTTCTGTATTTCAGGTGGTTTTAAATTAAATGTTACATTTCCTTTGTTCATAGAAATTAGAATAGAAACATAGAGGAGGGTATCACATGGTGAGAAGACAACAGAATGCCAGCTCAAGTCTCTCTCTTCTAATAAAAGCCACCAGTCTTAACACAGGGGTCTTTCCCTGATGACCTTATCTAAACCTAATTACCTTCCCAAGACCTTACCTCCAAATACCGTCAACTTATGATGTTGAGGATTCGGTTTTCAACACAAAATTTAGGGGACACATTCAAACCATAGCACTCTGTAATTGATCTCCTATGTTGATAACTTCTGACAAGTAAAATGATTTTCAGACACTTATACCCATCATTGATAGGTACCACAAGTCTCCATGTATGTCTATCTTAGAACATCTACATATTCTTTAAGGAGTAGGTACTATCAATTGAAAACTCTTGTTAATGTAAACACATTACATTAGTTGTGTAATTAAACTCTCCTAACAATTCAATATGGCAATATTATTACCTCATTTCTCAAATAATGGAAATTGAGTCTCAAAAGTTTATTAATTTGTTCCAGATTATAAATTTAGTAAGTGGAAGAGTCTGAAATAAAATTCTGATAAGTCTGGCTCCAAAATTACAAAGGAAAAAGGAACTCTATTTTTGAAAGCATCTAAATAAAGGAAAAGAAGTTTGCATTTTTATTACACTCAGAAGAATAGTTTGGGATTAATTATTACCTAATAAATACACTAAGAGTTATAATTATGCCATGTGAGGTAATTTACTTTTTATTTAATCAGGATAACATCAGGCTTCGATCTAGCCCATCGTTTTCTAGTCTTCATTATCAGGATGCTGGAAACTATGTCTGTGAAACTGCTCTGCAAGAGGTTGAAGGACTAAAGAAAAGAGAGTCACTGACTCTCATTGTAGAAGGTAATAAGATACTTGGGCACCAAGTCGAATTATTCTTGGAGAATTTTATATCTGGTCTCTTTCATGATCTCAGTTCAACATCTTATTTTAATCATAATGATATTTCAGGAAAACCTCAAATTAAAATGACAAAGAAAACTGATCCCAGTGGACTGTCTAAAACAATAATCTGCCACGTGGAAGGTTTTCCAAAGCCAGCTATACAATGGACAATTACCGGCAGTGGAAGCGTCATAAACCAAGCAAGTATTTGTCTTCTTGTTTTATGCTGAACTTGGTCCAATGTGGAAAGTTCTTTAGGAATCTGAACTGTAGGTTGGTTTGTTAACTACATAAAGTTTGCGATGTATTCTCAGAGGAGGCTTTTGCTAACTTTTGTTGTCCTAAAGGAAGAACATGACTCAAAGAGAAATTTTATCCCAGGGCCTTGGAAAATGGAAGAACCGTTGTTGTGGTCAGTATCTGTTTTTAAAAGAGCATAAATTGGGTGTTGCTCCATGGCCATTAATTTCTAGAATTTGAGTGGTTAAGACAATTAAGGTATACACACATTCTGCATAATAAACTAACACATCTGAGTATAAGAAGCCTCCATGACTTTGCTTGCATATGCACGTTAAGGGATTTTTCTTCTTAAAATTGTGCACTAAGGAGTGGTGAAGAACACCATCACTGCTGTCTGATATGCCTGTGCCAGGGCCAGGGCCATAATAAGGCAAGTTACATATATAGGTCACAAATGTATCCTGAACAAAACGGGTCATAAGCCTACCCTTAATATTTGTACCTTTTGCCAGGTATTTTAGTATCCATAATGGGTTAAGAACTTATGAATACTACCAATCGTTTTCTCTTAATACTAAGTTTTTGGCAATAAACAAACAAACAAGATGAGAATCTGGCCTGTCACTATGTCACTAAGAATGCAGAACTGTAATCCCACTGAATTGCCAATCTCTTGGGTTACTGACATACTTATTAATTTCATTTTTTTCTCTACAACATTCTTCATGCCCCCTCTTTGCAGTAGAACTGAAAACCACCAGTTACAGACTCTCTTCAGGAGCATCAGAGGCACCATTAGATTATTTCTATCTTTTGTGCTGCCTTCTCCGATTTTGGCCTAGTTGAAATTTGAGAAAACACATATAAAGCAAAGAGTTGCAAATCAACTTTAAGTTAAAAATCTCCATTCTTCCTCTGCCCAGGAAAGTTGGGCCGCTGGTCTAGCTTACGCAATGCAGTTTTGCAGAGCAGGGTAAATTTTGTCTCTTTCATCTATGAGTGATGCATATATCTGCATAATTCCTCATATGGAAAGCTCCCAGGGAGTGGGCACACTTGAAGCAAATGACTCCTGATTTGGGCAGGTGTGGTGGGGACACACAAGGAGAGAGCATGGGAGAGGCAGCAAAGATGCTCTGGGCCACTGAGCCAAAGGAAACACAGTTTCCTTGATTTAGAATAAAGGCCTAAACCGTCCAAATTGCTTACAATGTACAGATCCATTTTTTAGCCCAAAACTGGTCATTTCTCTTCTAATCTATTGTGTTTGCTCTCTAGTTCAATTAAGTGATAAGTCCAGCAAAAATTAGATACTAGTAATACAGACAAAATAGAAAAATAAGCACGTAATAAGTATATGATGAATGGGAAGATAACAAAGATTTAAAAGGCCATCCTAGAAAATGAGCAAATACATTTTGTGAAGATTAAAGTAACAAAGACAAAGACTCAGTGAGAAAGTCATATGAAAAATTCTGTTGGGAAGTGAAAAAATAGCAGGTAAACTTACGATGAGGATAAAAATAATAATGCCATTCTTCATTGTCAAGGAGAAAGATTGATTCTGGCCCACTAGGTGATATGTTATTTTTCTTGTTCCAGGTTTGTGCTGATACATCCATAATTTTTTATTTGCTCCCTCCTCAAACATCTGGTGAATCTACTATTTTACAACTACCAAATATCCCTGCCCCTCCTCCACTCCCAGTGACTAGAAGATAACCCAAAGCATGAGACTAGTTCTTATCATCAAGGCACTTACAGTATAATTAAAGAGAAGGCAAATATTATAGAAAGAGAAAAATATAAGAAATGATGTGTACAAAATTACTGAAAAAAGAGGGCAAGTGCATATTGAGTTCAGGTCTGTTGGATTTAGGAGTCAAGTCTTAGGGATGAGATTAAAGTGAATTGTATCTTATATTTGAAGAAATTAAACGCAGTGATTGCCCTCCTTAACACCTCAAAAAAAAAAAAACAAATGGATTTAACAGTAGCTGAAAAATAATTTATCCTCTGTAGTTACAACAGAAACATTTAGAAAAAATGATTTCATTTACCCATGAGCAAATCATACATACATATGCACTTCGATATAATTTTTTAAGAAATACAAATTCCCACAGTGAAAAACATGACCAAATTCACACATAATTAAATCTGTAAGTTTACTGAGGGAAAATTGATGATTAAATAATCACAGTTAATTATTTTAAGTGTCATCGTGCCAAAAAAGTGACTAAATCTGAGATTCTATTGAAAAAGAAGAGTTTAATTAATTTAATTATTGAAATTCACAGTAGAAACATAGACAGAAATCTGGATCTTTATCTATGAGTCTACATGTTCCCTGGAACACCAGACTGCACTACAGAGCACCACACCTAGCATATTACATTCAGTATTACTCTTGCCCAAGCTTTTTAATCCATTTTCAATTCTAAACCCATTTTCCTTCTTCTTTTTCCAGACAGAGGAATCTCCTTATATCAATGGCAGGTATTATAGTAAAATAATCATTTCCCCTGAAGAGAATGTTACACTAACTTGCACAGCAGAAAACCAGCTGGAAAGAACAGTAAACTCCTTGAATGTCTCTGCTAGTGAGTATTTCATTTCTGGCATTAAAAAAGTAAGAAAATTTGAAGTTATTCTTCATTAGTTTAAAATCTTCAATTCCATCTTCCTGTACTGCATTATGGTAAGTTTTGTTTATTTATTTTGCATTTGGTATCATCATCATAAGATTATTTTGTTTCTTTGTTCCTGGTGTCCATTCTTGTACTCTCTTTGTCTTGACAATTAAATCATTTCATGTTTTACGAGTCCGAGCTCTTACTCTGTGCAAGAATAGTTTCTCTAGGCAGCAGATAATAAGAAATAAATTGTTCTTATTTAATCCATGTTTTGTGTTCAGAGTAGAGATCATTTGAAGGTGATCTTAAAGCATTTTTGCAATAGTTTTAAATACGGTACATTTTTAATTCTTTTAAATTTGTTGTCGTGCATTACAATTCTTCGTGGTATTTAATCTTACTCCTAAGTCATACAAGAATGCCACAAGCTAAAAGTCATTTAGCAAATTAGCAAGGATGATATAATAATTCATGACATCTAGTTTATAAAACTGTTCCTTTGGTCACATCATATTTGAATTATTACCAAAAATAAAATTATCTCAGAGAATGTGAAAAAAATTCTGTCGATGTTGAAATCAGAGTGGTACATGCATACCAATAGCAGCTTCTGAAAAAAAAATTGTCATTTAGTGTGCAATTATTTGCAATCTTCAATTCCATTATTCCTATTGCTAGGTTAACATTAAATCAAGACTGACCTAGAACGAGACTCGGTTCTGGACAGGATGCTAACTGTCCTACCAAGCCATTATTCTTCAGTCAGTTGGAATCCTGAATGTGACATTAGCAGGCAAGGAATACACTGGCTAGAATTAACAGGAGCTAGGAGAGAATAATTGTCTGAAGATAGTAGTCCCTAACAGATTATGACTGGAATATAGCCTGGATGAATAGACAGGAGAAAGGCACCAAACAAATTTAACTCTAAAATAGGAGCATTGACTTCTCAGAATGCAATTCAGCGAGTATTGATTTGTCCTACCTAGAAAGAGAACCTATCATTTCTTCCTGAACACAAGTTTCTCTTTTATTTAAACCCATTGAATGGTGTGCTTCGGTTTTTTTGACCTTGAGGTGGCTTGATCAACATTTAATACTGTTGTTTTCAAATTCAGTGAGCAACTCCTGAGATACCAATTTAGTATGTGTGACGAAGGATCTTGGAATCTGCATTCTAGCAAACATCGCTAGCAGTTCTGACGCAAGGCCATGCACTTTGAATAATATTTACAAATTTAATATTAGATAATAATTCAACACAGCAGTACTTGCTAAAACGAACCAAGAGCATGGCACTTTTGCAAACATCACATATGTTGCTTCTTGGTCTCTGAGACATCTACAGTTTTAATCTCCACTCCTACCACTTTGAGACCATCTCTAGTGGTAAGTCCTTGACACTAGAGGATGAAAATGAATTCGCCTATGACAGGACAGGATAACTGGGAAAAGTTGAGAAATTCCACACTGTAAACTTCATAGGTGCTGATTTGTTCCTTTTAAAACAAATTTACTATTAAAAGTTAATAGTAGAAAAAATAATACAGATTTCAGATTAAAACTATAGCTTGTCAGTCGTGAAATTAATAGTAGATTAATACTTTTGCAGCTTTTAAAAAAAATTTTATTTTAAAGATGTGATGCACAATTCAGCGTCAGTTATACAAGTGGTCATTGTACAAGTAAAGTTTGGGCCTCACTTTGGTTCCCACATCACCTGGCTTGAGATCAGGTATTCTTATTGATGAAGTATGCAGTTTTAACTATTCTTCTTTCCTTAAAACAAAATGGAGTTCTTGGTAGGGAAGGTCATGCTTTATTAAGTGTGATTTTTTTTTTTGCTTCTTACCTTTAGCTGTAGAATAGACATTTTAGCTTTGAGTATTATTACATCATACTATAATGGTAAAGGTGACTTTCATATATCAACAAATTTTGTTTTTAATTTCATATTAACATTTTTCATTTCAGTAAGTATCCCAGAACACGATGAGGCAGACGAGATAAGTGGTAGGTACTATGCTGCTGACTCTTCTTCCTTGACTATCAGCTCAAGATTTAGGAAGTGTCATGGTATAAGTAATTTTCTTAGCTGTCCGCAATTATGGCTTGAAGTAAAATACCAGATGAGACAAGATAGTAAGAATGCTAAAATGTTACCCTTTAAAAATCACAAGTTTGCATGTTAATCACAGTAGTGAGTGTTAGTCATTTTTAATAAGACATAATAACTAGATCGACGTTTTAAAATCTGAGGCACTGTCTGTAACTGCCTGGACTTTTCTTCTTTGTTGTAGATGAAAACAGAGAAAAGGTGAATGACCAGGCAAAACTAATTGTGGGAATCGTCGTTGGTCTCCTCCTCGCTGCCCTCGTTGCTGGTGTTGTCTACTGGCTGTATATGAAGAAATCAAAGTAAGTTGTGGAAAAAAGATCTTCAGTATTCATTGACTTTCACTGGCAGAAAATTCAATGTGTTGATTATATTCACTCCAGCTGTGTTTGTAATTTATACAATAAGAAAGACATGTCACCAAATCAGGTTGATCACATATTTTGTTTCAACTCGTGGTGATGGTGGCTACACTGCCAATATTAGGAATGTGGCCCAGGGTGTGATTTCACCTTGTGTCCCTTGATTTTTCTTAATCGATAGTCTGAATTGAATTGTTTGATTTTTTTTCAGTGCTTGAGTGAATTATATATACACACATATATTTCATTCATTTTGTACATGTAATTCATTATTTATATAAAAGATAAATTATAATCATTTTCTTTCTATTTCACATTTGAAAAATCTGAGGCAGAGAGTAGTTAAAAGACTTGCTTAGGGCTATTTGATTAAAGACAGTGATGTTTTAGAAATATGTGCTTAATCTATGCCTTACTTTCCCTCCTTTTGCCATGTAAGGCAGAGCCATATTTCCTGTCGTGTGCTCTGACAGATACACATGATGTTCATTCTCACATTAGGGCATAGTGACTCTAGATTTTCACACTTCACTCCTCAGTACTGGACAATCCCCACCAATATTTGGTATATTAGTTACGGTTCTCCGGAGAATTAGACCAATAGGGCATGTGTGTGTTATGTGTGTGTTTTTTAAAATATTTTTTATAAAGAATTGGTTCACATGATTATGGAGGCTGAGACATCTCAAGATCTGCAGTCAGGAAGCCAGAAACCCAGAAAGCCAACGTGGAGTTCCAATCTATGTCTAGTAACCTGAAAACCAGGAAGGCTGATGATTTAAGTTCCAATCTGAAATTCAGCTGGGTCAGGACCCAGGAAGAGCTGGTTTCAGTCCAAATATGAAGGCAGGAAAAAAACAAACAAACAAACAGACAATGTCAGAGCTCAAGTGGTCAGGTGGGAGGAATTCTCTCTTCCTATCCCTTTCTGTACCATTCAGATCTCCAATTGGTTGGATGAGGCCTAGCCACAAAAGGGAGGGTTACCTGCTAGTCAGTCTACAGATTCAAATGTTATTCTCATCAAGATGCACCCTCATGGCCAGAATAATTTTTGACCAAATGTCTCTCCATCCACCACATGACCCAGTCAACTTGACACATAAAATTAACCATCTCACTTTATCACAAGTGTATCTTTTTTCTCAGTAACATTTTACTTACAAACCCTTCAATGGGTTTGTGTCCATGGTGTCTATGGAAAATCTAGGAGACCCATACCATATAGGTGAAAGGAAAGGCAGAGAGCTGTTACCCACAGGCAATATCTACTTTATAGAAATTCTCTTTCTATGTGTACAAGTTTCCTAATGTTCAAAATTGTACCCTTCCTTTCTAATACATGATAAGAGCTGGGCTCGGTGGCTCAGCCTGTAATCCCACGCCTTTGGGAGGCTGAGGTGAGTGGATTGCCTGAGCCCGTGGGTTCAAGACCCGCCTGGGCAGCGAGACTTCATCTCTACAATAAATCAAAAAGTCAGTCGGGCATCATAGCGCATGCCTGTAATTCCGGCTACTTGGAAGGCTGAGGCGGAAGGATTGCCAGAGCCCAGCAGGTCAAGGCTGCGGTGGCCGGGAGCGGCCACTGCACTCCAGTCTGGGTGACAGAGTGAGACTCCAACTCAAAATAATAATAATAATAATACATGATAAGGCAATCACAAATCCAACAGGTTGGGTTCTAGTATATTTCCATTTTATTAGGATTTCTGATGAACTTCAAAGTAATTTTGATACCTAAAAGAATGAAAGTAAAATTTCCCCATGTTCTGAAAATTAACTAAAAAACAAACTATAATTGTTTATTTTATGGTCAAATAAATATTAAATTCTTAGAGCATCCTTAGTCATCTTATTTCAATAACCAGTAGTTTATCAGACACCAATTGTTCTTCTATGAATAAAAGAAATGTGTGTGTGTTTCTTTATTAGTTATTATGATATGGTGACCCAAAATTAAAATCATGGGTAAATAAATGATGGACACTTGAGCTCATAGTCTCTTTAGATTAAGGCCTCAAGCATTTCCTTTTAAATATCTCATCAAATTAAGTGCAGCTTCTACCACCTGACCTGAACACTCAGTTAAATAACTATCATATAATTGAAAAGTGCACCAACTTTGACAGAGTTGATACCATTGGTAATCAAAGTAATATCTTGCAATTCTCATCCTAAGTACCAAAGGGTTTTTATTAAGAATTTGTGGAACTGTTCAGATTTGTTTGCTAAGTGCTTTGCATTCCTATTAGTTACTCCTTGCTTGTGCCCTCTGAAGTAAACCAGCATTTTTGCAAAATAAATTAGTGTGCTTAACCCCTCAAGCTCCTCGTCCAGAGTAAGTGCACATGCCTAATAAGAGCTTTCAAGTTAAGAATTTCTAAGGCCATTTGTGTGATTCAGCTAGCAAACCTATGAAATGTTAACAACATTTAAGGGAAGTTCTTTGCATTGGCAATTTTAAAAGTCTTTGGAGAGTGATAAGAGAAACAAATCTTTTATTTCTAAGAAGAATTCAGTGTACATTTGTTAAAATTGTGACCACTAAGCCAGCATGCATTCTCCATTCCACTAACAGGAGCTACATATTTTTATATCTGTTTCAAGTATGCAGAACTGCAACAAGACATATTTAGCAATTGTATTCTTTGTGATATGCATATTCATTTAGAAGTAAGGACTCATGACTCTTTTGCTGCTTTAGTCCATGTAACTTTTCACTGAAAGGTTTAATTTTTTATTAGCTAAGGATGTTTTGATTATGAGAATAGATAACTCTGATCATTTCCCATGTATGTTGAGTGTTAACTGACAGGGTTAGACAAAAGGCATTCATTGACTAAGTTCAGTTCATGTCTATTTGCTTAAAAAGTAGAAGAGCATTAAACATCTAGAAATAATTCAATGGTTGTTTTTATTGTCTTTTCCATATTTCTCCACCCTGTCTTCCAAATATTGATTTTTAGTTCTACAGGAAGTTGAATATTACAATTTTTTTTGAGAAGGCAGGATTTATTGAGAGGACGGAAAAGCTCCCACAGTGGGAGAGGACCCCAGGGGGTTGCCCTCAATGTTACTATTTAGGACCCAAATCCTGTCTCTCATGTCTCATAGTATAAGAACTAATGAAAAATTAAAAGAGCTGAAGATTAAGAAAAAGTGTAAAGGCAGAATGATGTAGCCATAAATTTCTTCAGAAGTATATTAAAACCATAATTTCCAGAATGACTGCATTTAAGAGACCCTGACCACTATACTTCTTATCACTAAACTGGGAACAATATTAACCAGATATTTATAATCTCAAAATACCCCTTGTGTGACTCTTGAAAACTTACCAAGCGATTTACCTTTTGCCACTGTGGAACTCAGGACTATTCTCTTGAAAATAGTGTTTAATATATAAATAATCCAGAAATCTAAAAGCCACAAATATCCTATGTTAGTTCTGCCTTATATAATATTTATATATTATTCCAATAGTTTCGCAGAAGAAAACAGAGACCTTTTTAATTGACTGAAGGACTAAAAAAGACTTGCCTATAACACTGAAACTTCACTAAACAATGTTATGTTAACCCTTTCTAGAACCCTTTCCATTACTATCTCTTGATATATGGAACTGCATCTTGCAAGAAAGTTGATTTTTAACTAAATTCTGTTTTTCAATCAATACTTAACTCTAATCTCAAATAGACTTCCTTGTAAGGGAAGAGGGACTCCCCACTGAAAAAATGGAAAAGATAGTGCTGGAGGACCATTTAGACAACATTTTAAATGACTTTCCTCATTTCTCACTACGTGAGAACCTACTTTTTTTCTTTTTGGTACTTTTACTAAAACCCTCAGCAATTTAATGATGTACCTATGGTTAACCCCATTTCATGGTTCATCTAAGTTTCGGTGGGATTAACTTGCCCAAGAAATTATATAAGTAATAAGAATTTTATTACACATCTCATATAGTACTTTCAAATATGTTTTTTTTGCCTTACCATGATTTCTTTGGAATTAAAACTCCAGCACTGACTTCGATTGCTTGCTGGCGATTAATATTGAGCTGTGGGAGAAGGGGTGTGCTCTGTTTCTTTACCCATGACCTGGAAAGTAGAGAGAAGGAAGAAAAGAGAATGCCCTATTAATCTATCAAACCATAAATAATAGAGGCACTACAGAGGATATAGAATAATGTGGAAATCCTGTCATTAGCCACTTATATGGCTCTTTCCTCTTCTTCTAAGTGGGACCTGAAAATTTCCACAGGAAAGAAAGCATTTGCATCAAAATATATACTTTTTAATTTCTTAAGACTTCCTTTCTCTCTATATAATATATATAATTTATTACATTTTTGTTTTAATATCTCATTTGTTTCAATTATCTTTTTGCAAGAGTGAAGAAAAAAGATCCCATTCCTTGCCATGAACCAGGTTGTGTGTAACCCAACATCACATACTCTAAAGAAACACTTTGAACCATGGTACTGGGTGCATGGAAACTGGCATCCTGTTTCCATGCACATTCAGTTTTGTTACATTTATTTTGACCCCTCCCCCCATCTTTTACCTGATGGTCCCTATGTATACTATTGACCATGATGGAAAAGTCACTCTCTATTTTTACAGAGGAAAGGATTCCCTGTTTCAGTGAGGAATTTCTTTGTAGAGTCTTAGAAATTCTAAGGCTATAAAATTCAAAGTTGTAGTTATAAGACCAATGATTAATTCTTCTTCACTTCTGTCCTCAAATTACAAAATTTCTGACAACTGTCAGAGGAAATTTATGCCCTCCTCTCCTTCTCTAGTTTTGCATTAAACTAGAGCAAAAGGAGACTTCTTCAGTTCACAGCTATGACCAGGGAAGAGGGAAAAATACCTATTCTTTGGGCATAACCCTAATTACTTGTACAGATGTCAATTGCCAGTATGCTAGAAGTAGTG